TGTAAGGTTATAAAATTTAATTTGAGATGGTTATACGTTTTTCTCTTATTCTATCTATCGATATAGTGATAGTATCATTTTTAGGATTTACCGTTTAGTAAAAATATGATTTACTGCAAAAACGTTTAGGTTTGGTCAAAGATGAATTTGTAATAGTTTTCAGTACATCGAATTGCATAAGGTAATTCCACCATTCTATAGTCATATAGATTTTGGTTTGACCTTTGTATTCTAACGAAATGGTAACGTACAACTTTAATCCATACAGCCCCACCGAAACAGCGATGTTTCTTTTCTCATCGATATTAAATGATCGTTTACAGAAAAGTATGCGAGAACCCATTTTTTCATAAAGTTATATATATATATACGTTTGACTACGATTCTGCTAATTCTACACAATAACTATACGTTTAATATTATACGTGTACACTATCCGAAATCATTTAGTATACTAACACTTTATTGTATGCCATTAATACATATAATATATACATGATAAAATTAGCCTAGCGGAGGTTAAGAGACTACTAAATAAGTATCCTCTGTATATAATAACTCCATCAGCCGTACCGTCCTAACCGTAGACGTTATACATATATAGGTAGCATATAAATAAAATGTTAACCAAACGCAAAAACAATATTTATTTTCAGGTCTATATATATATATATAACGTCCACGGTTAGGTCGGTACGGATGGCAATCATCTATAGGGCGGCAAAGGTTAGGTTAGGTTAACGTGGTGATCGCATTTTTTGTTGCACTAGTCCCGAAACACACAGAGATGATTCGTTTACACAATATGGCGAATGACTTACACAAAGAGATGATTCAAATAGGACCTAACAATGGAATCATCGATCATCAATCGTCCTTTTGTTCCACAATGTACGTTTCCCTTCTACTGAGGTCGACGTGCGGCAACCACAGTGTTTTTTTTTCTCGGTTTACTCGTGGAGGAGCCGGCCGGTACCTGACCGCGGTTGCCGCCGCCGCCGTCGCACCGAAAAATAATATATACAAATAATATATATATATATATATATATATATACAAATAATATATATATATATATAAAATATATATATACAGTTATTTACAGTTGGACCGCATCAACCCGGATCAATTCAGCAATCCCCCAACGAAGGTAAGGAAAAAAAAAATAGATCAGTATTAATTTTAGATATATGATAGAACAATAATAATAAGAAAAGTGAAATATCATTACAGCGACCGCGCCTCAACACACTGATCATCATCAAGTCCATGTTGATGATGAAGGTAATTAAAAAAGAAATATAATAGTATAGGATGATTCTATTTGTTATTTAATTACAGTATGGATAGACTTGACTACAGAAGAAGAAAATAGGGAAGCAGACAATTTTAGTAACATCGGGGAAACAGGTAAACAAAAAAAATAATGATTTAAGGTAACTAATATACATTCATTCAACTCGGCCAACACGGTCACAATATATATGTATCAGAAAGAGTACCGGCTGCAATGAATTCGGTCAACTACAGCAGTGTCTGCGACGACCACAATTACAGCAGTGTCTGCGACGATCAAAATATCGGTAAAAAGAATATTAATAATAATAATATACAAAACAATAACAGGGTTGATCAATTTAGAATATATCGACGTCTGGCCTCCGTCTCCGACACACCACACAGGAACCGCCGCCGATACATCGATAAGAACTGGTGGTGCCATGACAATGACCGGTATAATCAATTACACTAATTAAAATAACGCGTGCGGATAAGTACTAATAAATGGAAACATATAGGTCAAATGGACGCTACCGATGTGCCGAGTAGAATCACAACAACGGCTGCTACAGACGGCCGCAATACCGATAATATGCAAATACAAAGTCCGAACCGTAAGAATATAACCAATACAATTAATAATATGATTATACGTAAATGATAAATTAATTTAAAATAAGTAGTAAAATGATGAATTAATTTAAAAAAAATTTTTTACATGGTATTTATGTTAATGTTGGAATTTAAAATAAATTAACAAACCGTGATATATACACACACACACACACACACACACATAGTTTTCATAACGCATGTTTCGGAACGCGTTACATTTTTTTTTCTCGACTATATTCATGTGGGCAGTATTTTTTTTTTTTTTTTTCGATTTGCTGTGTGTGTGACAATATATATATTTATAAGGAAATAACAGTGTACTGTAATTTAATATTCATAGCGCTCGACAACGACGATGACGGCGTCGGCGATGACGGCGTTAGCGAGGGTGATGACACGATGACCACGGGTCGGACAAGTATGATAAAGAACCGAATGGGAAAAGAGAATAATAATAATATTAATAACGGTGTGTATTTGCTTTACGAACAGCTCGATTCGGCGATGCTTTCGACGGCCGAATTTCAAATTTCAAAATCGATTGTCGAAATACGACCGCCGACATTAACGAGTTCTTGGTCCGATCGGAAGCTAAGGTGTTGAAGGTGTGGGATAAACAGCTCGTTCGGTACGTAGCGCTGAAAGTGAGTCTGGGTTTGTACGCAGTGTACGAAAAACAGAAGCAGCCGGCTGCTGGCGGCGCCGACGTGTATGACACATGTGTGCACGATCACGCGGCCGGTCCGGTCATACTGACACAGGGACAGGATCAGCACACAGTGTATACACAGCTTGCTGATATTATTCGTACGCGCGCCGACGAATTTGAACGTGGCGATTCGGGGTGGGCGTTTCGCGAGAACGTATACCTCGAAACGTCTACGTACAAGTATAATCCGCTCAGGGCATCGTGCACAATTACTCTGCCTACCTCGCTGTTGCGGAAGAGCGCCGTCCTGAACATCGCGAACACCGATGATGCATGTTTTTTTTGGGCGATCGTGGCGCACATCCACCCTGCACCGGCAGGTGTTGATCCCATGCTTACTACGAGCTATCCCCCCTACAACCGTGTACTCCAAACCCGCGGGATCTCGATGCCGGTGGCGTTAAAGTCCATCCCAAAATTCGAAACCGACAACGAGATCAGCGTTAACGTGTACGCTTGGGAGGATAACAAGATCGTAGGGCCGCTTTACTATACGACCGAAAAGCGAGTGCGCCACGTGAACCTGATGCCGGCGGTGTCGCGTTGTTCTCCCATCGGACGATAAAAATATCGTCGAGTTCATCAATTGGAAAAACATCGTTCCCGTTCCATTCTGTATTTACGCAGACACCGAAGCTATCCTCAAACCGATCGCCCCGCCCCCGAATGCCGGTGGGACCTACGACATCGCGGAGCACGTAGCGTGTAGTTTCGCTTATTTTGTCAAGTGCGATTTCGATTCGTCACTTGACAAGTTTGAACTCTACCGGGGCGCGGATTGCATGTCGGTGTTTGTGGAACGGTTGGAACGGGACGTGAAGGCCATAGCTCGACGGTATTTTTCCCCGGTGGATATGACCCCCCTTACCCCTGCGCAGCAGGCAGTGCACGATGCGGCGACCGTGTGCTACGTCTGCCGCGAACCGTTGACACCGGTCGACAAGGTGCGGGACCATTGTCACCTGAGCGGACGATACAGAGGCCCGGCTCACAGCGCGTGTAACTTAAAACTGCGAGTACCGAACTACGTACCGATCGTGCTCCACAATTTTTCGGGTTACGATAGTCATTTTCTCACCACCGCCCTCGCCGACGACACCAATCAAATCCAAGTCATCGCCAAGACCAAAGAAAAGTACATTTCGTTGTCTAAGTTTCTGCGGTTGGACGACGAAACCGGCGGGAGTCACACAATCGTCATGCGGTTCATCGATTCATACCGGTAAGACTGATAAAAACAAAGCAGTAATTTTGGTCTACAATAACGGTATTTCTGGACAGGTTTCTGCCCTCGTCGCTGGACGAAGCCGCACGGTCGCTGACCGACGTCCAGCTGGTGAACACCAAAACCCGGTTTCCGGACGATGGTCAGTTCCGGTTAATGAAAACGAAGGGGTATTTCCCGTACGAATACGTAACGAGCGCAGAGGTGCTTGAGGAAACGTCGTTACCTCCACTCGACGCCTTCCGGAGTCAGTTGACGTTGTCCACCATCACGGACGAACAATACCGCCACGCGCAGACCGTGTGGTCAACGTTTAACTGTCAAACACTAGGCCAGTATAGTGACGTATACATGTGCGGTGACGTGTACTTACTGGCCGACGTGTTTGAAACGTTCCGGAAGTTTATCCTCGAGCACTACAGACTCGATCCAGCTGCGTATCTGACGACCCCTTCGTTAGCCTGGGATGCGATGAAGCTAATGACAGGGGTCAAAATAGAGCTGATGACTGAGCACGAGCAGGTGCAATACGTCATGAAAAACATCCGAGGGGGGTTGGTCCAATGCAATCAACATTATGCAAAGGCCAACAATAAGTATATGGAGGACTTTGACCCGACGGAAGAGCCATCGTACATCATGCAGTTAGACGAAAATAACCTTTACGGGTGTGCGATGAGCCTTCCCTTCCGATTGGTGAGTTCCATTTCTTAACCCCCGCGGAGCTCGCAACTTTTGACCCCCTCACCGTTTCGGACGATGCGGAATTCGGCTATTTTGTGGAGACCGACCTCGAATATCCGCACGCCGTCCACGACCACCTAGCAGATTTACCGTTCTTTCCGGAGAACATGGTTCCACCCGGAGGCAAACAGCCAAAGCTCATAGCCAACCTGATCAATAAAGAGAAGTAAGAACAACGGGGAAAATGTGTGTGTGTGTGTGTGTGTGTGTGGGCAACGGGAATATTTATCGATTTTTTTTTTTTGTTTCAGATACGTCACTCATTACAGGTGCTTACAGCAAGGCGTTGCCAACGGGGTGGTTCTCCGGAGAATCCATAGCGCACTTCGGTTTCGGCAGCGTGCTTGGATCCGTCCGTTCATCGAAACGAACACGAGATTGCGTGCTGCGACCAGGACGAAGTTCGAGGGCAACTTGCCAAAACTGATGTCGAATTCGGTTTACGGCAAGGCGCTCGAGAACCCTGAAAAACGAACCAAAGTGCACATTGTCACGCGCTGGAGAAACGTCAAGCAGAGACTAGGAGCCGGTGTTTTGATAGCTAAACCCACGTTCGACAGCGTGGCGATCTTTACCCCGTCCATGGCGGCCGTGCAGATGACCAAATCGGTTATCAAGTACGACCGGCCGTCATACGCGGGTTTCGCCGTGCTGGAGCTGTCAAAATACATTCTGTACGACTTCCATTACGGGTACATGGTACCCAAATATGGCTCTAAAGCGCGTGTCATCTATGGAGACACGGACAGTCTGTTTTATTGGGTTGAAACCGACGATTTTTATGCTGACATGAAGGCTGATATCGACAAGTATGCACGGACCGCTTTGCCGGTCATTCACACAAACTAATGGGTTTATTTTTTTTATCCAGGTACGATACCAGCAACTTCAGTCCGGACAACCCATACGCAATGCCTTTGGTCAACAAAATGGTTTTATGGAAGATGAAGGACGATGCTGGTGGTAACATCGTCATATTATTCATCGGCCTTCGGAGCAAGTCGTACTGCTCCGATTCGGTCGAACCGTCGATAAATAAAAAAAAGCTGAAAGGCATCCAACGCGCGGTCGTGGAAAAGACGATCACCCCCCAGGACTACTACGACTGTCTCGTTATCCCGAACCACAAGGTAATGAGACAGACGTGTACGTTTCGGTCGAAACGCCATAGACTGACCACCGAAATGTGCACGTAACTAGCGATGGAGTACAAAGACGACAAACGGTACCAAATACCCAATTCGTTTTTGACACTCCACTGGGGTCATTATCGCATCCCAGACGATGAACCGGACAGTGACTAACCGGTGGCGGTGACGATGGATTTGACAGTGTAAAATAACCCAAGACTGACTCTTTTTGTATTTAATTTTTTGTTTTTTTTTTTTTATTTTGTAAATAATGTATAGTAATAATACAAATTAAACAAAGACTTCTTTTTTTTTTTTAAATAATTTCCCTTTAGCGATAATAATATCAGGTAATACTATTATTGCTATTATTGCTTATTATTAATATGCTAGTACAAAACATACATTGTTAAGTGTGTGTGTGTGTGTGTGTGTGTGTGTGTGTGTGTGTGTGGACAGGAAAACATCAGGTTTGGACATGCGTGCACAGTGCCGCGGAATAAATTACAAACCGATGAAAGTATGAGTTATTTATTCAACATATAGCCAGATGAATACAAATTTACATATTCGTACAACAAATATATATATATATATATATATAATTATTGCATAAAACATAATAATAATAATAAGTTTGGTACAATATTTGCCGTTACCGTCCAATGTTTTCATCCATCCAAACGCGGAGGGCTAAACATTGCGCCTTCGCACAGGTTTTGTTTTGTGCGCGGTCCGAGTGAAATGGACATACGTGTTGTTGTTGTTGGAGCATCCGGCACTTGGGACAGCCGTAAGCTTCCAGGTCGATGACCGTGCACTTCGGTAGATAGCGTTGTAGGAGGTTCCGCTTTTGAATGCCTTTGACGTACACAGCAGTGTAGCGGCTGTTAATGGCGCCTAGGACGCGCGCCAACTCCGAATACGGTATGTGACCGTCTGTATAGCGGATACCGTGAAAGTGTGTTTGCAACCAAACGTTTACTTTCGTGCTTTGCGGTGACAGCCGAAAGGTAGGCGGATGTTGAACCAACCAATGCATCACGTGTGTAGCTCTTTGCGCGTCAGCTATGCATATTTCTTTGATGACCATGTGAAGGTCCGAGTCGACCACGCACTGAACATCAATAACCGCTGAAAGCATATTGTCAAACTGAGCTATCGGTTCGTTTGATCCAAGCATTATACTTGACGGGTAACCCGACGTATTTCACGAACTGCTTGCCCCCCTTCCTCCGGACAATTTTTTCTATTAAATAGGTGTTGGGATAACGCGTCCGGTTCATCTCTTGCGCGTAGAACGTTCCGTTAACCGGCGCGCCGCTCTTATCGCGCACTGTATAAACTGTAGGCGCTGTCCGTCGTACCCCGGACACGGTGAAAATTTCGTTTGACCAACTTTGCGCATAACCCTTATCAAATACCGTTTTATGTTTGCTCAGGCGTACGGCATCGCCCACGGCGAATTTAGGTTTGCCGCCTACCGCCGCCGCCGCCGCAACCGGTAGAAAACAACACTCCCGGGCTCGCGGGACGCGTCGTTCGGCGTCATTCGGATGGACGTGTGCACGGTTGTGTTGTAAGCGGCGACTAGATCATCAACGAGTGGCACCCATTCGTGGTTGCCGTGCGCTGTAAACGCTTTCCACATCTTTTCTTTAAGCGTTCTGTTCCAGCGTTCGCAAACGCTCGCCTTCAGCGGCGTGTACGTTTGATAATGGTGTATATTATACTGCTCGTACACGCGTCGTGCGTCTTTATTGATAAATTCCAGACCACGATCCGTGTGCAGGTGACGACATCGTCTGCCGCTGGACTTGATTATGTGTTCGAGGGCAGCGGCCACGGTCGGACCAGATTTATTTTTCAACGGTACGGCCCAGCCGTACTTGGTGTACACGTCTATAACTGTCAGGAGGAACGTGTGATTTTTATTTTTTTTTACTTTGGAAAACTTTTTCATGTCTACGAGGTCGGCTTGCCATAAATCGTCTTTGCCGTCGGTGCGCACGACCCGTCTGGCAAACCGCCGGATAGCCGGTCTGTGTAGTTCGGTTGCGATGTGCTCGCGAACGGTCATCATCGTCAGCGGATCACACCTATTTCCCTGAGTTCCTCCTCGCACGCGATAATTTCGTTGTGCACGGCGGTATTGCCCGCGGCTTGCGCGGCTCTGAGCAAAGCGAGGCGGTCGACTATTTCGTTGGCGTCGTCCCAGTAAACATATTCTTTGTCCTTCCCCGTAACCGTCAACCGCGTAATCCCGTCACCCATCTTGGCCGCGGCGCGAACTGCGGTCAGGTCGCGTCCGTTCTCGTTGAACAACTGTTTGATAATGTACTTATACTTGTATCCGCGGTTCGTTTTCGGTCTACCGGACGACAGCAAATGACATCCTGTGTGAATGAGAAAATTGCGATACGTGGTCAGATCGCTTTCGGTGATGAATTGCATGCGGGGTACCGAGCTGCACACCAATTCTTGGAGTCCTTTTGTGAAGGGTATTTCGGTTAACGTGCCCACTTTTATACGGTTCTTGTTGAACTGTACTGCTTTATCACCCATCACCCATGTTCCGTCTGGTTGTAGATGAATGCCGTACGACGGATTGGTTTCGGTAATACGGAATTCTTCTGCTTTTTCTTTTTCTTCTTCTTCTTTTTCTTCAGACTCATCTTTCCGGGCGCCTCGCGCTTGCGTCCGCTGCGCCGACAACTCGGCTGTTAATTTTGTCAACGGTTAAACGATCGGCGCCGCGTGGGTTCGCACGTATTCGGTCGTCACGGCCAATCCGTGCCGCAGCTCGTCTAGTTTGCGTTTTATGCTTTTCTTAGCACGTATAATTGCTTCCGTCGTAGCCGGCGATTCCATGGTTACATTTTACTGAACGGGCGCGATGCCGTCGCGCCTTTTTATATACACGTCGAAACCCATTCGATAACGTCCGTCGTTTAGATCGAAGTCCTTGACAATTGTTAAAAACGAGTACCGGTCGGTGTTCCAACACTGCGAGCACATGGATTTAAAGTCAGCGAACGTCATATCGGATTGACAGTGTTCCTGGTAAACGTGTCGAACGTTAGTCTCGTCCTGTTTGTACAAAACTATCATCGACACGTTGTCCCGGATCCCGTGCTTCGGCGCTTTGACATACGTTTGCGTCAGGTAAAAGCTATCGATCCCGTTGTGCCGTCCGCGGCAAAAGTATTCGGCGATGTTTCTTTGTTTTTCAAATGCGACATCGTCAAAAACAAACACCGAATTAGTCTGTACTCGTTCGGGTGGAGGCACATGATCCCCGTCGGTGTACACGTGCATTTGCGCGCCGTCAACGCCCTCCATCACCTTCTTTAACATTATATATTTTGGCTGATCAGGTGTCTTCGTGTACAGGTATATGTGTTCGAAGCGCAGCCCGTTTTCGTCTGTCAAAAGGTTTACCATCACCGTCGTCTTGCCGACGTTACTGGGCCCCGCGATAATACATCTGGTTGAGGAGGGTAGGAGGGGACCGTGACGGCTGTGGTGGTCGTCAGCAGCGGCTGGGTCGTCGTCGAGCCGCAGAACGGTTAATTTGTGTTCTTGCGGTTCGAAAAACATTATAAAGGTGGTGTCGCAGACCAATGCCGTGTCCAAACGTAAACGGTGCGTCGTCGTCGAAGGTTCTCAGCGAACAAGATCGGTCGGGTTATCGTCACTGCGGTTATAAGCTCACTACTGTAATGCCCCGTGTCAACCGACGTAAACGGAAGGGACGGCGGTCTGCACCGAAAACCGGAGGCGGGCTGCGCTTCGGCAGTCTCGTAGCTGCCGCTCGTGCTGCGATGCGCAAAGCGAAACCGCTAACCGTCGCTGCGGCAGCGCGGAAGGCGTTATCCGCCGTCAACCAGGTCCGTCGGAAAGCCAGGGGAAAACCGGTTCTCCGACCACGCACGTTGGCCGTGTCGAAAATCGGCGGCGCGTTCGCGCTTGTGCCTTTTCTCTCAGCCCTGTCAGCGATCGGCTCACTGCTCGGCGGTGCGTCCGGAATCGTGCGTGCGGTTAACGACATCCGCAATAACAAAAACGCGAAAGCCCCGGTAAAAATCGGAAGTGGCTATTTGTTGCACCGCAAGCGAAACGGATCCGGATTCTACCTCAAACCGTACCAGCCAAAAAACTGATAACCACGCTGCCTAGATCGCGGGCGCTGAGAGACGTGGATATTATAAATTACGCGACAAAGTTGGGCATATCTCATTTCCGCGGTGTGTTTATGCGCGACACGTTACCGGCTGCGCCCTTGCGGTTTGAGTGCGGCGTCGTTAATCTTGACGTCTCTACCGGAAGTGGTACACACTGGTGCTGTTACCACAAGCGCAACGATACCGTCTTGTTTTTCGATCCGTTCGGTAACCTCCCGCCGCCGCTAGAACTTCAGCGTTATTTCAGCGGTTGTCTCGTCCAATATACCTACGACCGTGTGCAACGATTCGCAACATCCGTTTGCGGTCAGCTATGTCTCAAGTTTCTGTACGCTCAATGTCGTCCGCGCACCGCTCGTTCACGTTAACCTTTCAAGGTACCGCAAGCGAGTTGGTCAGCACGTTTTTCCCTCCTATCCCGTTGCGGACCGGCGCGGAGATCGCGTTGCTCGACGTCATAGTGTGCAATTCCCGTCCCAACGTCGACGCGTCTAACAACACTTTGCGCGTGCGACGGTTGCCAGGTGTTCAAAAACGCGGTGCCAACATCGATATGTACGATGACACTGTCGCCACCGGTACCGGTTCAGTGCAGATCAAATCAGACGCGCCGTCGCCGTTACCAGACGATGCCTATGACGACGTCGTGATACCCGTCGGGTCGTACGAGGTGTCCGCTTTGGCTCGCGTGCTCAAGTCACTAGTCGAAAACCTAAATCCCGATTACCGGTTCGCGCTTCATCCCAACGTCAACACGTTTGAATCGGAACTCCTGTGTAATCGCGACATCAGCTTCGCGGCCCCCAACAGCGTCGGCCCTCTATTGGGGTTTGAGCGGGTCGAGCTGCCGGCGAACACTTTGCACCGATCCGGTCGTCTGATAACCATCGATCCGCTTACGTGTATAAGAATCACATGCAACGTCGCGGCAGGCGCATTCGTCAACGGCGTTCGTAGTCGCGCGATCTATAACTTTTTGCCATCCGTCCCGCCCGGGTTTCAGATCGCAGAATCACCGCGGAATCTGATTTATTATCCAATAGCGACGGATCGTCTCGACCGCGTGCGGGTCACGATTACCGATCAGAACTCGAAGCTGGTCGACTTCCGCGGTGAACCAATCACAGTACGTTTACACGTGCGCGATGGGGTTGGTGTTTAAAAGCGTCCGCACGCGTCCGGTTCGGTACATTCAGCCGTTGGCACGTTCCCGGTTAACACGGCAGAGCTTGCAAACGTTATCGGCGCTCGGCTACAAACTCGCCGCGAATCAAACCACCGTCAATGGACGTCGACGTTTTGGACATCACTCGGCGAGTCGAATTCGACGATCGCATCACTAGATACGAGTTTCACACTTATCAACCGTTCTCCAGCAACAGTCTAACGAACAACGATGAGATCCGCATCGCGATTCAACACCAGGACCTCTACACACTCCCTAGCGAATCACTGCTATGTCTGCAGGGATCCGTTGTCGTCACCCCGGCCACTGACACATCCGACGTGACCATCGTCACCAACGGATTGATGTTTTTGTTCGACGAGATTCGCTATGAGCTGAATTCAGTCGAAATCGATCGGGTGAGACAACCCGGCGTTGCTAGCACGCTCAAAGGGTACGTAACGATGCAGAAGACGGTACACGGTCGGTACGCGAACGCTGGTTGGTCGGCGAACACAACAAAAAAGTTTGATGTCGTTATACCGCTCAGGTTGATATTGGGATTTTGTGAAGATCACAGAAAACTCATAATTAACGCGCGACAAGAACTCGTTTTGCACCGTGCGAGCACCGACAGTGATGCTCTTACAACGAACGCGGCCGCCGCAAGCGTTGTGTTGGATCACGTTACGTGGAGAGTGCCGCACGTCAATGTAAACGATTCTGTTAGATTGCAGTTGCTCAAAGCGTTGGACGCGAAAAAACCGTTATCCATCGCTTTCCGTAGCTGGGAGCTATTCTCTTATCCGTCGCTCCCCCGGTCGAACAAACATTCCTGGGCGGTTAAGACGAGCACGCACACGGAAAAGCCGCGATACGTGATAGTAGCCTTGCAGACCGATCGGAAAAATAAACTCGCGACGAACTCCAGTCAGTTCGACGGATGCGGGTTGACCACGTTGAAAGTATATCTCAATTCTGAATCGTATCCGTACGATACGTTAAAAATCGATTATGCCGGTGATAAATTTTCGTTTTTGTACAACATGTATGCGAGTTTTCAAGAATCGTATTACGGCGTTCCGGTCGGAGAACCGTTGTTCACCGCAGCAGAGTTTAAGTCGACATCCCCCATCGTCGTTGTAGATTGTTCGAAACAGAATGATTTTGTTAAGAACGCACCGATTGACTTACGTATAAATTTTGAAACGGCTAGCAACGTGGCTGACAACACCGCTGCTTATTGTTTAATCGTACACGATAAAATTTTTGAATATAACGCTTTGACTAGCGAAGTTCACAAAATTTTGTAATACCAATTGATATAACAATACCTGTTTTTTTTTGTATATATATTTTTTTAAATTTAATATTCCTTTATGATTGTAAATATTTTTTAAAAATAAATAATCATTGCGTTAAAAATTTTTTTTTTCCCTTTCCTTTCCTTTCTTCGCTCTCAGTTATCAACCTTTTTCTTTTAACCATTGATTGGACGGGTAACATACAAAATGAATACACAGTTTTTTTTTTTTTAGGTACATTACACATATTTATTTATTTTTATCGTTCGTCAAGATGATATATAGTATAACAAACACACATAATATTAATCATATAAAAACAGAATTCGTTGTTACATTTTTTTATTTTTTTTTTTTTATGTGCCCGCGAAGCACAGGTCCGTCCGCCCACCGTTTAATGCTGCTGCTGCTGCTGCTGCTGCTGCTA